AAAGAATGTCCACTAACTATAAGTAAATGGAATCTGGGAAAATCAGTGAGTTGATGCCCATGCTTTGCCCTGTCTACCTCTGAGAAGTACAGCAGACAAAAGAGCTCCTGTCCCTTCACCAAACTTCTCCTTGATTTGGAGGCCACAAGTCTTATTTTTTTTTTTAAGATTTTATTTATTCACGAGAGACACACAGAAAGAGGCAGAGACATACGCAGAGGGAGAAGCAGGCTCCCCAAAGGGAGCCCGATGCAGGACTCGATCCCAGGACCCCAGGATTATGACCTGAGCTGAAGGTAGATGCTCAATCACTGAGCCACCCAGGTGCCCCTGGAGGCCCCACATCTTAACACGCCGTAAAAATGACACAGGTGCTACTCTCTGTAGCTATCTGAGTACTGTTAGCCTGTGTCCATCCTCACCCAAGGATACACAAACATACTCTTACCCACACGCTGCTTTTCTGTACCTCTGCCAAAAGCACAACTTCAAAGAATGACAGAACAGAATTTGGGGTGAGGAAGGAGGGAAGGGGCAAACCTGGCTGCAGTGTCTGCATATGCTGTGGCGTAATTCCTGGCAGTAAGATCACGTGGGTTGGAGCAGAGAGAGGGAGCTCCTGGGTAGTTGTATACACTTGAATGTATCAATTATGACATACACACTAATTTCATGTCTGACATGCAACCCATCTCTGTGGTGGTCCCAGCTAAGGGCCACCAGGCATCAGTGAGGGTCATCGCTCACTTCTTGACTGCAGAGCTAAGTAAGCAGTGAACAGGGCCAAGGAAAATCTATGCAACTCATCTCTTGGATTATGCAGAATGTGAGCAGTTCTTCATTTGGCAGTGGATAGAGAAAACCCCAAATATGAGGCCTAATTTTAAAAAATCCTGCAGACCATGGAGAGGCAATGACAATCCTGCAGACTCCAAACTTTTGAAAATGATCTATTCTAAAAACTAGGTAACATTTAGAAAAGCACTGGTGTTCTCTCTAGGCTGTATGGAACCATGTCCTCTATTGAAATCAACTGGAAAGTAATAAGCATAATGAGATTAAAAGCTATTAAAATGAGATTTAGAAAGCACTAAAGTGAAAAGAAGAAATTAGGAAGAACTTGGTAAAACATGGACAATTTCAAGGAAACTGAAGCTTCTACAAGTCACATTAAAAGGTAATCAGGAGGGATCCCTGGGTGACGCAGCAGTTTGGCGCCTGCCTTTGGCCCAGGGCGCGAGCCTGGAGACACGGGATCGACTCCCACGTCGGGCTCCCAGTGCGTGGAGCCTGCTTCTCCCTCTGCCTATGTCTCTGCCTCTCTCTCTCTCTCTATGTGACTATAATAAATAAATAAATTTAAAAAAAAAAAGGTAATCAGGATTGTAACTATGTGTGTTGATGTACATTAACTAGACTAATTGGGATCATGTCTCTACATATACATATATTGAATCATTATGTTGTACACCTGAAACTAATATAATTTTACATACCAATTATATCTCAATAAAAAAATTATGAGGCAAAGAAATCTGAATATTGCTAGATATTTGATGATATTGAGATATTTGTATTACATTTTTAGGTCAACGAACTGTTTCTATAAAGGGCCTGATAGTAAATGTTTTAGGCTTTGTGGGTCTACAGTCTGTTTCCACTACTCACCTATGTCACTGTAGCCCGAGAGCAGCCACAAACAACACATAATAGATGGCTGTGGCTGTGTTCCAGTCAAATATTAATTAATTAATATTCACTCAGAGAGTGAATGAGTGTTGGTGATGGGCATAGGAAGAGGGAGAGAGAATCTTAACCGGAACTCCATGCTAAGCGCAGAGCCCAACATGGGGCTTGATCCCACAACCCAAAGATTGTGACCTGAGCTGAAACCAAGAGTTGAATGCTTAACCGATTGAGCCACCCAGGTACCTCCCAATAAAATATTGTTTAAAAAAATAAAAGAGGGAACCAGGAATCAATAAAAAGTAAAAGTAATACTAGAGAAAATCTAATACATAATGTCAAACTTGAGAGGTTTCCACAAAATCTAGAAAAGAAAAACAGAAAAAAATGAGACAGATCATAGATATAGAAGGGTAAGAATAGAAATTGAACCTAAGAGGCCTTGACATTGTGGAAGAAGAAACTAGAAAAATGGAATAAGAACTAACAACAAAAGCCACAACTGAAAAAACTTTGCAGAGATGGAAAAAAAGAAAAAACCCTCGGTGTACAGATCGAGAGGATTCAGTATGACTAAGCTAATTTAAGAAAAAAACGTATCCATGTCTATCCTGATGAAAGCTTTGTGTTTACAGAGACAAAGAGAATTACTTAAGGATGCATGCCAAAACCAAAATAAAACTAAACCAAAGCAAAGGAAGGAAAAAATTAATTTTAAGTGAACCTAAATCAGACTGACCTCAAACTTCTGCAATAATAAATATCAGAAGACACTAGAGCTGTGTTCATGAGAAAAAATGTAGCTGAAACCAAATAATATTACATTCACATGTAAGGCCATATAGTACAATAGTTAAATGTACAGGATTTGGAGTCAAACAGCTAGAGTTTAAATTCAGGCAACCCCACTGATCGGTGTGTCCTTGGGCAACTCATTTGTGCAGTTCATAGGATGATTATCTAAATGAAATGAGATAATGATACACATGAAGTACTCAGAACACTTACTAAAGGCCATTTTAACTTAATAATCTGTGCCAGTTAGAATTTGAACTCAGATCTGCCTGAATCTTAAATCAGGCCCACAGAGCTTGTCCTCCCGAACTCTCTAACTCTACATTGGGAATTTGGCACTTGCTACTGTGATTAGAATTATAGTACCTGTTATGGTAACTGGAACTCATTCTCACATTTAAATTGTCAATGGCTCTTTGCAGGTCCTAGGGTAATGTAAAGAATATGGAAGAAAGAAAAATTAATTAGAAGGATCTCAAGGATTTCATTGGCTGCATAAGTTCTATACACCATTTAAAACAGGCAGTGTCCAGGCTCAATACTTAACAAGATTTTCCCATAGTCTCCCCCTCCTCCTATTGGCACCATGCAAGAAGGGGAAGAAGGGCTTCTGTTACCGCTTGTCCAGATGCCTTACCTCATATTTGATAATTTCTAACAGCTCTGAAAAATAAATGTTATGTAATGGAAACATCAAAGGATCTAGATTTTTGTTGTCGTGTTGTTGGGGCTGTTTTTCTCAGGGTCAGAAGATGGCAGGGGTTAAGGCTGGTCCTCCTAAGAGGACAGATTGCAGCAAGCATAGATGACAGGAGATGCTTCCACTCTAGTTCACTTTCAGATCTGTGCTAATATCGAACCTTTGCATGATTATTGGTATTTCTCGACATTGCTGCTTTTCCAACTTTCTTTTCCCTGTGTAGCCCTTCAGCAGGTGACATTGTCATCAGCTCACCTGGCATGTGATTCTGCATACCCACCTCTTATCTTTTCTTGTACTCAAACTGACATGAAGCTCCAGAGGCCATATTTCCATACCAACCAAAGATCTTTTCTGACTTGTGATGTCATGTATAGGAAAAGTTTTATGCAGTATAAGCAAAACAATGAATCATTTTTATTTAAAGAGAGTAAGGTCACATGACATTAGACTCTTTCAGAAAATTCAGGGCTTCTGTAGCTCACAATTTGGCCTTCATATTTGCTTGACTTCTGATGGGCAAGAAGGAGATAAAAATTCTTATCAGTTGCAGTCCACTTGCTAGCAACCGAAACTGCCTTTTGTTAACATAAGCAGAAAGAAATATTTTGAAAAGATATGAAGTAAGACACCAAACTGGGGGGAAAAAGAAAACCAGAACCAAAAGCTAATGAGAGACACAGGGAATGGGAGAGAAGGAGGAAAAGAAGGATGGATGAGTTATGTAATAAATGTAATAGAGATTATTTAGACAAGGTGAGTCAAAACATTGGCCAGGGTAGGTTATGGGACATTGATTGTAGTCCATCATCCCAGAGAAGAACATATTTGGATATAAATGGAGGATAGATGCTAGGCAAGCAAATACAGGTGATTTTCACTGCCAAAATGTTCCTAAACTACTTGTAAGCCTTCAATGATTCCCTGATTGTCCCATGCACATAATTACTTAATGTGGTTGCTGCTTGGGGATTTCGCTAAATATTGTCTGTTGGCACTCAGAACCCATTTCTATCCTCTCCTGCTTTTTCCTGTATTGCAATACTTCCCATTCTTGGGAAGGCTACAAAAGAACATTTCTAACTCCCTTGACACCAAGGTTCTGGAATTGATTTAAGCTCCACCAGTGAGACGCAATTGCATGAGATTTGAAAGGCAGAAGGGGTAGAGGTGGGGACAGGGATATTTTAAGTATTTATTTTCCTGAAGTGGTAGCCACTCCAGACCCTGGCAGGCATCAGTTCTTGCAGTGGTCAAAATGCAATTTGTATGGCCTGGTCACCAACCTCATAGTCAAGGGCAACTGAGACATCAGTCAGAGTTTCCTACAGTTCACCTGTCTCCAGAACTGGTGAAGCCTGATCCTGAGCTAGTGTCAGATGCCAACCTCCATTCTACTAACCCCTGCAATAATTTTTTAGGCACCTAATTTCCTATATTAAAGCTCTTTCTAGTAAAGACACCTAAAGTAATTTCTGTTTCCTGAGTTAATACCCTGAATGATATAGGTATCAAAAAGCTCCTTCAGGGATGCCCGGGTGGCTCAGCGGTTGGGCGCCTGCCTTTGGCTCAGGTTGTGACCCTGGGATCCGGGATCCAGTCCTGCATTGGGCTCCCTGCATGGAACCTGCTTCTCCCTCTGCCTGTGTGTGTGTCTCTCTCTCTTTCTCTCTCTGTCTCTCATGAATAAATAAAGTCTTAAAAAAAAAAAGCTCTTTCAATATCACTATCAATATATCAATATAAACTGACCTCTACTGCACATTCTTCCAGGGCTTTCTACGTTGATCACCAATACTTGTTTCCTTTTCTTGCACAGATGGCAGAACTTCGTTGAGTTGTTGAGCAAAGCTTTCTCCGATTTGTCACATGATTTGCCTGCAGGTAAGTTTGGCGATTTTGTTCCTTGAGAGGCCTCCCATTTCTCAGAGCTACTGTTGATTCTGTTGCTTTGCTCCAGTGGTTTGCTTGTTGGGATTCTTTCTTTCTTTCTTTCTTTCTTTCTTTCTTTCTTTCTTTCTTTCTTTCTTTCAAGATTTTATTTATTTATTTATTTATTATTCATGAGAGACACAAATAGAAAGAGAAGCAGAGACACAGGCAGAGGAAGAAGCAGGCTCCCTGCCGGGAGCCCAATGTGGGACTGGATCCCAGGTCTCCAGGATCATGCCCTGGGCTGAAGGCAGATGCTTAACCACTGAGCCACCCAGGCATCCCTGCTTGTTGGGTTTCATCTCATTGCTCTCAGAAATGTAAATGGCTCAGCAGTGCAGAAAAATAAGAAGAATCAGAATTGCCTTACTGGCTATTGTTTTAGGCCAGTTAAATCATAAAAGGCATGATTCTCCAAGTTGTGTTATATCATGAAGCATTCTCTAGCAAGAGCCCTTTCAGATGAATGCAGCACTTACAGAAGAAGTGCACATTACTAGAATTTCAGTTGCATAGTTCCTTAGATCTAGGAATCCCACAGCTAGGTACTTATCCTACTGGCATCTCACAAAATAAATACATACATGCATACATATAGAGACTAATTAATTTTTAAATTTTTAAAATTAAAAAAATTAGAAATAAAATACAGTTTAGTGCAGCATTTTTTGGTAAATGCTTATAAAATGGAAATTAAATGTTTTAAAAATTAAAAATAAGAATAAAAACAATGAGGGATTCCTGGGTGGCTCAGTGGTTGGGTGCCTGCCTTCGTCTCAGAGTGTGATCCTGAAGTTCCGGGATCAAGTCCTGCATTGGGTTCCCTGCATGGAGCCTGCTACTCCCTCTGCCTGTGTCTCTGCCTCTCTCTCTCTCTGTGTCTCTCATGAATAAATAAGTAAAATCTTAAAAAGAAAAAAAAGGAATAGAAACAATGAGAAATCCTTTAGGGGTAATTTAATTAAATTACGGTATATCCAATTGATAAAACTATGCAGCTGTAAAGTAACATGGCTGGCCTTGATACAGGAAAATTTCCAAAACATATTAAGTGAAATTGTAAAGATAAATTTGGGCAAAATATTTAGCAATTAGCAAGTTTTAAATATGACAGGTGAAAAAATATGCATTGATATTAATCTGCTGTTGCAATTTCTCTATTTACTACATCCATCAACTATTTGCTGATTACCTTTTGGATCAAAATACAAGGTACCAAAAGTTTGAGGGGAGGGATGGTATCTCAGTTTGCATTCCAGCAGAAGAACAGAAACCCTGCTGGATATTTCAAACAGGGAATTTATAACAGAGGATTGGAGGACTGGTTGCACAAACATTAGTTTGAAAGAGCAAAAAAGAGGATGGTGTGTGGATGCATTTCTTAGGGCTGCCATTACAAAGTACCACAGACTATGTGGCTTAAAATAACAGAAATCTATTCTCTCACAGTTCTGGAGACTAAAAGTCTGAAACCCAGGTGTCAGAAGAGCCATGCTCCCTTTGAAGGCTTTAAGAAAGAGCTCTTCTTTACCTTTTCCAGCTTCTGATGGCTCCCAGGCATTCCTTGGCTTGTGGTTGCTTAAATCAACTGTCCGCCCCTGTCTTCACATGGTCTTCTTCCCTCTCTGTTTCTTCTGTGTCTTCTCTGTATCTTCTTTTTCATATAAAGACACCACTATTCATTGGATTTAGGACTCTCGCTAATCCAGAATGATATCATGGTAACTTGATTACATATAAAAAGATCCTGTTTCCAAATAAGGTCACATTAACAGGTACCAGTGGTAGCTGTGTCGGAAGGCGCAATTCAACCCATGAGAGTTGAGGCAACTCAGAGATTAGTAGTTTGTAGAAAGCAGCTCTCATTCTTGGGGTTAAAGAAACATCGAGAAAAGTGTACTATTAGCAGAATCTTGGCCAGTGCTACTGCATAGCTGATTCTAGGACCTCCAAGAATATGGCAAGCAGCTAGAGAAAGAATTTTGAAGGAGGTGCCATGCAGCTGATCCTTGGAACACCACATAGTTTGAAACTCCGACCTTTACAAATGGGGCTGGTGCTTGGATTTCTAACAAAGCACCATGTGGTCAATGATGGGCCTACTGAATGGGATGTCCTGTGTCTAAATTTTGGATTTTCACATATGACCAATGCTAAAAATGTTGAAAAACACTTAAGGAGTCTCATTCAGACCTAAGAGTGAGGTCCAGGATGCTTCTCTTGACAGCTCAAAGTTTACCAACGGCTGTAGCAACAGCAATAGCTCTCCCATGATGCTGAACAAATACTAACAAACTCCAAAAATAAGAAGAGAGTACTTTTACTCTCCTCACAGTCTAATCTCCCTCCAACTGTCTCCCATTGTTGGAATCTAGCCTAAAGCCAGTGAGCCAGGGTATCTGGGAAATATAGTGGTAGATCCCCAGCCCAACGTTACAGAAAAGAGATAGAAGAGATTTGCTAGAAGATCACATCGACTGAGGGTTCATCTTTCATGCTGTCATCTGTAACTTCAGAGAACTCAGTTTTGTTGAAAAGACAAAACAAGTATATCAAAAGGTGGTAAGAACAAATGTATGAATCAAATACTTTCTCCTTCTCTCTCTAATATAAGCCAAGTCATTCAATGCATTAGTTTGTTAGAAAGGCATAAACAACAGATGTTTATTTTCTCACAGTTCTGGAGACTACAAGTTCAAAGTCCTAGTGTAAGCACGTTTGGTTTCTTCTGAGGCTTCTCTCCTTGGCTTGCAGATGGCTTCTTTCTCACTGTGTCCTCACATGGTCTTTTCTCAATGCATTGTACATCTCTGGTGTCTCTTTGTGTGTCCAAATTTTTGGCTTTATAAAAACACCAGTCAGATTGGTATCTTCATTTTAATGAGCTCAATTGAACTGAATCACCTCTTTAAATGGACTGTCTCCAAATACAGTCACATTTTGAGGTACTAGGGGTTAAAGTCTGAAATATGAATTTGAGGGGGACAGAATGCAATCCATAATAGTTTACATGGAAAAGTGTATAAAAAGAAGGGTCAAAGTCTCACTTTTGCAACCAAATAGCCACCTTATATTGGAACATTTATTTTACTTCTATTGGACTCATTTTTCTCATCTCTAAAATGAACTGAAAATACGAAATAAAAAATATCTTCCCTATTGCTCTGATAAGGTGATTAGAAGTCTAATTTTTTAAGGCTATATTGCACCCTACAGAGCAACAGGACTTTAGCGATACCATTGTTGATTGTTGTTGTGATGACCTACTGCTTACTGAGAAAGTTAATGCCTTATTCTCTTCCCATTTCTGTATTGCTGGAGCTATGATAATTAAGTGCTCTTTGGCACTAAGGGAGGCATTTTATTTGCCTGTTTTTTAGCTCCACAGGTGAGTGTTATGAAAGGAAAGAAGGTACATTATAAGACACTAAGGCAGCTACTCATTTTTGGGTGTGAAGAATTGTGAATTTTCTCATTCTTGGAGCCTGTTTTCACTCGAAGATTCTATAGTAGCCTATCAAAGTGACTCATTTTTATATATCACAAATTTTATTTCACTTGGACTCACAAGAATCCTATGAACTTGTTTTTTAATGTACATGATAATCACATAAATAATATCTGTGATTTAGGCTAAGCCCTAGATGGACTAGTTTACAGCAATCAGACCTCTTGGCAAGATCAACTAGAAGAGTAGTTAAAATACAAAACAATATCTCTTTGAAAGCTATTATTTGGAATTTGAATACCAGAAAGAAAGGAGAAAAAAACCCTCTGGAAGAAGTTATCATATAAAAATCTCTAGAATTATTCATATAAAATGTCCAGCATTCAATTACAAATAATCAGGAATGATACAAAACAGGACATGGATTTTGAAATAACTGTAACTAATATGTTTAAGGAAATGGATAAGATGGAGAATTTTGGCAAGTAATTTGAATCTATATAGAGTATCTAGAACTGAAAAATATAAAAACTAAATTTTAAAAACTCACCAAGTGAGTTGAATAGGAAGGAGGTTGAGTATAGTTGAAGAGAGAATTAGAACTGGAATATATAGTTCAGCAGGAAACATCCAGACTGAAGCATGAAGGAGCAATGAAGATAGAACATACCAAAAAAGTGTATGAGACATATAGGAAGTGGCAAGAATATCCAGTATACATGTAATGAAGTCACAGAAAGGAGGAAGAGAATAGAGCTGAAGCAATATCTGAAGCAATTATGACTGAGAAATTTCCAAAAGTGATAGAAGACCTCAAGTCACAGATCCAGGAAGTCCTGTGAATCCCCATGAAGACAAATACAAAAGAGCTTACACCCCTCCAAATATGCTATGGTCTGAGGTCTAAAATAGTATTTCGCAAAAATGAAGTAAGGCTCCAACTTTGAATCTCTTCACTGTGGAGCCTGTGAGTGAGGAAAAGGAGGAAAAAGCAGGAAGCACAGAGCAGGGCTATAGCAAGGCTGTTAATGGGGGGAAATTGGAGAGAATGATGGTAGCCTTGGAGGCTCATTGATCCCCGCAAACACTCTTGAAGATCTATCACTCAAGATAACACAGAAAAATGACTAAGAGTTCAACCTCTCTTTTATTAAGAAAAAAAAATCCATAGTAATTCCTACTTAGAACTATTTATATTGGAGGAACAGAAAAGCCAACTCAGTTGGTTTAGACTCTTTATAGGCTTATGTAAGTGAAAACTCTAGCAGCAGCAAGAACTATAGGCTGATTTGCTGTAGTCATTAAAATATCAAAATCCAGGATCTGGTTTCTTTCTGGCTCTCTGCTCTACTGTATATCGTGCTGGCATGATCTTTAGGCTCTACTTGGTGGTGCCTCAACTACTCCAGACACTTCTTCAATAACAAAATAGCTATGGCAGCCAAGGTCATCATATCTTCATAGCTCTCTCTCTTTTGGCCAGTTCTTCCCAGAAGGAGAGAATTTTACAAGTTGAGAAACTGTAGCAGATGTCTCCTCTAGTCTCAGAGACTTAGATTAGATTGAGTTTTATGTCTACCTTTGAACCAAGACTGTGATTAGGATACCATGACTATCTTCAACTAATCAGAGACCAAGCTTGGAATTGGAACTGGAGGATCATTCTTCTCAAACCACAGCACTAGGATGGAGGAGGAATGGTCCCCACAAAGCAAAATATAGTTGCTATCGTTAGAAGGAGCTAATGAAGAGAACAATCACCGTAGAAGAAATGAATGATGGAAGCAAACAAAACAAAACACAATTCCAGTCACATGAATGGCCCATGAGGCTCTTCAGTTCTGTGAATACTTAACCCACTTTTCTTCCCTTTTCATCTGGCTTCAGCTATTCTTTTCTCTCAGCTATTTCCTGAATGCACCAAACACTCCTCCCTCCCTTATAACCTTTGCCTTTATGACAACTTTTTCCTGAGATGCTCCTTCTGCAGACATTTGCATGTCTTTCTCCCTTGTTTCTCAGGTCTTTGATTTAATGTCACTTGGAGAGGCTTTTGGTGAATCCCTTCCCTAAAATAGCAACCGCCAAGACTTCTTACCCCCGTCCCCCCATAATTGGCCTTAGCTGCGTTTCTAGCACTTGTGGCTACTTGATGTCATTTTACAGATCTCTCTGTTTGCCCTCACCACTGGAATGTGCACTCCCTGGGATGATTCTGTCTTGTTCGTCATGGTATCACAGTTAGCATTTAATGGATGTTTGTTGAACAAGTGAATGAATTAGAATCCCAGCCCTAACCCTACCTAGGTTGTCTTAAGCAAGAAACTGAACCTGGTGTTGCCTCCGTCCCCTCATTTGTAAAATGGAGATAATTTCTACCTCACAGAGTTATTCTTTAGAGTAAATAAGAAAACCTGTGAGAGATGTCTGGCATATGTAGATATTTAACATATATTTATTTGTGTTTCCTTCTCATAAAAGTTTCATTCACTAGGTCCAATGAAGCCAGAAGTCTTTATTTAAATCTGTTGTTTTCTCCTGTGGTTTCACTTTAGAATTACCTAGGGAATTCCTTAGACGTTCTGAGCTGGGTTCTCACCCCCGGAGATTCTAATTTAATTGGTCTGGTGTGCCGCCCAAGCACTGGTAATTTTTAAAGCTCCCCAGGTGGGAGCATGTTAGCAGGCAGCCCTGAAGACCACTGATTTCAAGTCATTAGTGCGGGGGGATGGGAGCACTGGCTGCGTGACTATCAGAATTCACTGGAAGCCCTGTAAAACCTGGCCCTTCCAACACCTGGAAACCTCTAGAAGCCAGCTTGGCTTATTTCCTCCCGTACAAATCATCAACTGGCAGACTAGACAGATGGTTATTATTTATCTTTCCTGCTGTGTTAGAAAAAAAATCCACCCAGCCTTGGGTTTCTCAAACCATTTTTACACGTGCAAACCATTACCTTTTTATATGCTCATAGGTATTAGAAAGGAGAAAGGGGAGCTTAAGAGAGACCGGGGAGACTAGTATGTATTTTCTCCTAATGGAACTTTGAGAGGTGCAGACACCAGAGAGAAACTGGCCTGGGGCAAAGACTGGGTTCTAGATCTTATGCTAAAAGGAACAATGTACATGAGCAGTGCTCAGAAAAATACCTGGCACATAATAATTAATGTTGAAGATCCTATAATAATCTTTGTTGAAGATCATATAATAAGGTTAACACAATAACAAATGATCATCCCTTGCACTGAGCATCTTCCCTGTATTAAGTATTTTCTGTGAGTAACTTTTTTTTTAATCTCCACAATCTTCCTGCAAACTGCTGGTATCATTCCCTTTTCACAACTGATGAAATTAGGATCTAAAAGCTTGCAGCTGGTAGAGGGAAGAATCAGGATTAGCATTCAGGTCTGAATAAACCAAAGATTATTTTATATGCTAAATACTGTTTCTAGAATCCTTTTAAATCTCCAACTTGATCATTCAGAGTAACTGGAATCTTTTTTCACCTACAGTAACCAGAAAGCTTTTCTTTCACATACTGGGTGAAATAAACAGGTGCCAGGGGTGATGATGGGTTCCCGTGACAAATTTTCAGCAATTAAAACAGATCTGCCCTGAAGGGGCTGCCTCAACTGGCTATCATGATTCTCATTAAGCATCTTTTAAGTTTTGCTCTATACAGCATCTGGGTTAAGGATCAGATGATAAAGAAATGTGAAGAAAAATTTCTCCTGTAGGGCCTGAAAAGGAATTGGGATAAATAGAACTATATATGCAGCGGCTTTAATTTCTAAACCCCAAATCACCCATTCACATGGTCATTCACTTAATCTATAAAGTATGTACTGAGTACTTCTTCTAATGCTGGGTGCTGGGGCTTCAGATATTTTGAAGTCCCATTGTCTTCACCAAGAAACTGAGGGAGAGGATTCATAACAATTCATAGGTGTAATATTCAAAGTGCAACAAAAGGCTTTTTAATCCGATATATAAGTTGACTTACATGAACCTCCTTACATAGATGGCACTCTTAGTTAACAGTTATTGAGCATTTGCTATGTTCTAGGTATTTGCTTTATTTTCTAGCCCCTTTAATCCTCACGATTATCTATGGGCGGCATTAGCCACCTTTTACAGAAGTGGACACTGAGTGAGACACAGAGAGGACCAGTAACCTGCCCAAGGTGATGCAGCTCATAGAGAAAGGAGCTAGGACTCAAACCCAGGGCATCTGGCTGCAGAGCCTCCACTCTCTACCATTAAGTTACACTGCCACTCTCCACCCTTTAAAAAAAACGTATTGATTGAACCATCATTGCTGAAAGTAGGGAGTCACAACTCAGAAACAGTAAGCATTTGTTATTGGCAGACTTGAATTACGCGCTAAATATGGGAGCTGAAGCTCCCAGAAATCTCTACTGGATGGCCATTGCATGGATTTGTAAAATAAATGAGTAAGGCACCAGAGGTGCTAATGATGAATGAATGATACCCATAATAAGCCTAAAAGGACCTGAGCAGAAAGTCTGCGTGTCTTTTTCCTGGAACCTAAGGAAATGTCTTCTATGCATGAAGGCAGCAGCCTGGGCAATAGCACCCAGACAGTAGACTCCCCTGGGTTCAGGATAACCTGTGAACATGGAAAGGACCAAGGAAGGAGGAAGACAAAGCTTTTACCTGACCCTTCAGGCACACCCTGGATGGAGAGAGAGGCCAATGTTCCCACTTCTCTGTAAAGAGGCAAAGCTATGGAAAGAGGCCCACACTGTGAAAGCCCTCTGGATTCAAGGCGGTTCTATAGGCTGTTGTTCTGCTTATCTGAAACAGTCTGGTACAGGAGGCACCACCAGTATCACTTCTACCTGGAAACTCCTATTCATCACTCAGGCCCCCAGTTTAAGTGTCACTTCCTCCGAGAAGCCTTCTCTGATCGTCCAGCACTCCAACCCCCATCTCAAAATAAGTGTAAAGATTTTCACATTTTCCTTGGCTGTGCTTATGGTAGTTTGTAACCAAATAATCAATTTGAGGAGTGATTTAGCATCTACTTCCCCTTTGTGAGCTCCATCAAGGCAGGTACTAGGTCTGTTTTTCTCTACCAGTGTGTCCCTATCACCAAACACAGGGCCAACCATGTTAACAGAGCCTCAACATTCTCTTTGCCTGAGTATATACGAGTATGTGCTAAAATGAAGAGACCAAACTAAACCCTTCCATTTTTTCTTTCCTGTCCAGGGAAGCATGTAAAGAAAACCTCTGGCACCGCAGTGCCGGCTGAAGTTCCTGAGATGTCTCCAGGCAAAACAGAACATATGGTATGCACCTGGCTATATGGGGCTGGAGGAAGGGCTTCACCCATCCTTCGCCTTCTATTCTCTCATGCTGGGTGAGGGCCTCCCTTCCGGGTTTTTGATTTCCACCCAACACCTTGATGTCAGGCTAGTCTGACTTTGAGACTCTGCTCCAACAGAGAAGGGAGGCAGAACTCTTGGGAGTGCGTGGGTTGGTTCCTGTCCCAGCTGATACGGAAGCAGAAATCTCTCAACACGCAGTGATGGACCTGCTGTCTGCCCCAAGACACTGGACTTGTAGCATGTATACAGGTGTCCTTCCAAAGTCTGTGACCAATCCACCAACTGCTGTCAAAATAAAAGATGGTTATAAGACCTATTTTAACATCTTAAGTCCAGCTTCCAGAAACTGAGGGTGACCTTTTCCCCAGACATCACATTTTAAAATGTAATGGACTCTTTGATTTAAAAAAAAAAAATCTGGCAAGCAGTTAAAATCCGTTTTAATATTCCCAGCACTTAGCCAAAAGAAGATGCAGATAGAATTGAAAAACAGCCTGAGTTTTTCTGTTGTTGTTGTTTTTTAAATGCCCGGATTAGAACAAAATTCATCTTAAAATGACGGGAGGCCTCTTCATGCACTTCACACTTTGAAATATTTTAGAAAATAGTATCCATTTTGGCAAGCCTCTTGCCATGCAAGAAACAACAGCAAATGCTTTTCTCCTTGAGTGTTAAGTCTGTTGTGAATAAGATTATAAAAAATATACTTTGCTCTTTTATTTTGCCTCTTGTTTGAGGATTTTACTGCATCTCTACAATAATTGATTCTTCTCACATTTCTCTATAAGCAGCATTCATTGCCCCACTTTAGAGAGAGAAATTGAAGCAGAAGTTTGGTAAAGCACATTTCCTCTTTTCCCAGAGAAAATCATTTATTCATTCCCATATTCATTCAGTAAACATGTCTTCAAAACCAACCTGTGCCGGCCACTAACCAGACCTTGAAGGTTTACAAATGACCACCTTACAGGCCCAGTCTCTAGACCCCTGGTAGAGAAGAGAGATGCTGTAACAGTTACAATATCCTCTAATAAGTGCTGTGATGGATAAAAGGGCTGCAAAGAATCACCTGTCACCCACCCTGGGGCTTTGGGGAAGGCTGCCCACAAGAAGTGAAATATGAATTGGGTCTTGAAGGATGAGTAGAAGCCCAACCAATCAAGGCATGAGTGATAAGAAGGGCTCTCACAACAGAGGGAATAGCATGTGTAAAGCATAAAGGCATTATACAGCTTCATTGCTTCATTTTTTCCCCCTGGTTTTATGAGGCTGGAAAAAATGAGAGAAAAAGGGTGCATACATAGAATTTGAAAGAAGAAAAAGAACAAGAACTTGAATGATCTTATGTGCCAGGTAAGGAATTTGGACTTTACGCTGTTACAGCGGGACTAAAACAATATAGGGTGTGTCACCTACTTACTCAGTTGAGCCTGATTCAGGTCTATACAAATCCTCCCTTTCCCTGCCTCTAGTGATCAAAGAGAATGTTAAACTATCTGAAGGAATACAAAGTTATTTAAAATCAGCTTCTCAGATCCAAGGACCTCTTTTAAATTATCTAAAGTCATCCACCAAACTCTATGCAAGTGTGCTTTTAGCTGGGTAGATTATCTAAAGTATTCATCAGATTTATAAAGGGGTCCAAATCTCTAAAAAGTATAATAATCCTATTTATTTACTTTATGAAAACTTTATCTGTTTCTCAAGATTGATTTTATCAATGTGGAATTCTTTTATATTAATCTCTTGCAATTTACCGGTTGCTGGTCACCCATATGGTTGCAATTTCATATCGCATTCTATTCTTTGAAACAAAACAGTTCTTTACAATCCCCCAGAAGCAGCTCAATCCGTGTTTGTTAACAAACTCAAAACTTGGTGTCTTATTGCAATTTCCATTCTTTAGAGCTATGGGATTTTTCACAACTCATATGTGAGAAGTTTGAGACAAAGGTACAAAACTGGAGAAATTCAGGTATTTGAAAATTGGAGGAACCACAGAGATACAGAAGTTAGAGGCATAATTCTAAGGCAAATTAGTTAAGATTATTTGCATTGTGGTGAACAGAGCCAACTCTACCAATTTAATATAATGGAAGGATAGACAAGCATATTACACTAAGGTCAGAACCATAACAACACACTAAAGTCAGGGACTTGAACAACATCATGACTTCCTGTGTCTTTTCTCTCTGCTGTCAGCTTCACATCCTCTATCTAAGTATCTTCCTGTGTATGTGTCTATCTTTCTTGGCAGACCATCTTTTTCTCATTTTCAATACACAGAGTGGAAAACCTGCTAGAGTTCCTACATCTTACACAGAATGGCCTCTATTTTTCTTTCTTTGTCTGTCTCTATTTCTCACAAATAGTTCCCAAACCACTGGACGGTGTGTCTCTTGGCCCATTTTGCATTAGGTGGCAAGTCCTGCATCATGTCCTTAGATACATGGTGGTTTTCTCCACAGTCATGTAGATAGGGAGGATGGGCAATGTCTGGAAAAGTGAGGTTGGGCAGATCAAACAGCTGATGTCCACTCTCTCTCTTCATGGTAGGTGATAGAATGTCTTACATGACACAGTAAGGACTCATTTGTCCACTTGTTCTAAAAGCATCTCTCTTCTGTGCTGGACATGGAGTTAGAATACCAAAAGGAACTAGACATAAGCTCTACACTCACCTTCTAGTTTTGTGTCTACCATTGACTGTATGAGCTCAGTAAGTCACTTCCACTCCCTGGGTCACAGCTTCCTTTGTTAAATGTGTAGAATGGACAGACCACAGAGGTGCTTTATGGTTAGTAGAATGGGCCCATGAGCCTAAGATAATATCAGTATTGTTTTAGTCACTTTCTGTCAAAAATCTCACACTCATGATGCAGAGGTTTCCCACCAAGAAATTATAAGCATTGCCTGAAGCCTATCTCTTGTGTATCCCACTAGTATAAAACAGAGTAGAATATCATAAAAATTCTCAGTCACAAAAACCTTTGTTTTGTGTAAGTCAGAAATGTAAACTGAATAAAAGTCATGATTTCAACACCCACAAAAAACAACAACAACCCAAAAAAAACCCAACTCAACATAGTTTATATCCAGCAAGAATTGGCAGATATGGTCCTATGGCACAGAGGATTTGAAACACATCCTCTAGCTTTACAAAGCCAGACCTTGCAATAAATCTTGCTAGCTGTGTGGCCTCATCTTTGGCCAAGAGACTGGAAGAGTTCTTTGTGGTGAATGTATTGCCAGTGCGATGCTTGTGTTGTTTTGGTAGAAAACTCCAGAAGAGGAGCTGCCATCAGAACACCGTCCTGCTGAGATTTCAGCCCCCAAAGATCCCCTACAAGCTCTGAAGGTCAGGCCAGTCTCACAGCCTTTTGTGAGTCCAATGATGATGAAGAAAGAGTCTGAAGAACAGGAGATGTGGATCAACAGGTTCAGGAAGCTGGAGAATGCCCTCTACCTGTGTGATCTGAGTAATACAGGTGAAGTGAGCCGCTGAGAGCTGATATGCTTTCTATTTTTGTTCGAGTCTGGAAGTGGACACCTCTTTTCTTTCACTTCTTATCAAAGACACTTTGTATATAATCCGTGTGCACTGATACTGGGAACACAACTGGAAAATACAAAGATAAATCGGACTGAGACATGAATCCCCCACCAGGTTACTCACAGTCCTTTGTGTCTGATCCTCCTCCATTCAACTCCTAGAGTCTAACACACAGTCCAATCTTGCAACTCCCAGCTGAAATCTTCAGTGCACCCCCTGACAGGCTGAATTCCTAACTCCTTAGCAAGGCAAAAGCTGGTTCTGTCCACCTTACAAGTCCTTTCTCCTTCAACTGGTATTCTCTCAGTGTATCCTGTCCTGTCATAATGAATAACTTGCCCTCCTCAAACATGCCATGCTTTCTCCTGTGGCTGCTCCTTTACTCAACCTATGCCCTCCATCTGAGCTGTCTGCCTCTCCTCTTCCTACCCCCCCCCCGCCCCCCGCCCCCCTCCCCCCGGCCAACTCTCCATCTTGTCCACCTGGCTAGCTCATGCTTAAACATATTTTGTGTTAGAACTCAGGCTCTACTCCCCTGAGATACCCAAGATTTCCCCAGACAGATCTAGGCTAACTTTTATCTGGCCTCTTGGAGTTCTTTAACAACCATTATCATAGTTGATATAAATATTTTTTATTTGGGGACTTAAACAGTCTCACCAGTAGACTCTATTCTGTATTTTGCCCTTGCACCTTGCACAATTCTGTTCAAATTTTTTTTGAAGGAACAAAGAAAGGAATGAATGTAAATACATAAATAAATCCAAGATGGAAGGTAATAAGTACCATTACAGTGTGCTATGTGGGCATTCAGAGAAAGGAGTATTCCTTCCTAGTGAGATCAGGAAAGGTGATATTAGTGTGAAATTAACCATTAAGGATAAAGTGTGCTTTACATGCAAAGGAATAAAATAGACCTTTCTGGCAAAGGTACACATTAGCCAAATAAAGTGTTATGTGTGAAGTTCAGGGCAAGAAGTTTGGATTGGAAAGAATATAAGGGCTATTAAGAAGAATGTGAAATGATAAAGGTAGAAATATAAGATTCTAGATCTTAGATGCCAGACCGAGGAATTTGGATTTAGTTCAAAAAGAGTGAGTAGCAGCACTAAGAGTTTCTAGGCAGGGTGGCGGTATGATGAAGTTGTATTTCAGAAAGATCATGGATGGCTGTCTACAGATTGAAGGAGAAACTGGAAGTAAGGAAAGGAGAAAGGACTTGCAATGTCCAAGTGAAAACAAAGGCCAGGACAAGGTCAGAAACCTGGGGAAGAGGGAGCAGATACAAATGCACATGGACTGAAATGGTGGTATTTAATGACATTCTGTAGTTATAGTGAGTTAGTGAAGCCTAAAAGCATGGAACCCATGGAAATGGAAAGTAGAATGGTAATTGCTGGGAAAAATGGGAGACATCGGTTAAAGGGCAAAATTTTCAGTTAGAAGATGCATGAGTTCCAAGAATTTAACATACAGCATGATGACTTCAGTTAACAATACTGTATTGTATACTTGAAAGTTGCTAGGACAGTAGAGTTTTAATGCTCTCACCACCAAAACTATAACCACAACAAAATGGTAATTATGTGTGATAAAGAATATGTTAACTAACCTTATTGTGTTAAACGTTTCCCAACATATACATGTATCAAATCATTACAGTATATACCTTAAACTTAATTAATGGTATATGTCAATTATATCTCAACAACAACAACAAAAAATAGTGGATATATAGTGCATTCTAGAAGTAATCATCTAACAGTAGCAATGCCTGTGTTTTCATTCTCTGTGTGTTTTTGTTTTTGTTGTTTTGAATTTCCAAAGCACTTAAGTGTAGACAAAGGAACTCACAATACCCAAGGAATACCCTTGGGTACTACTACACAATACCCAAGGAATTCCAATAATCATACCAAAGAGAGGGGGTGGTGAAAATTTTAAATGAAAAATTCATATAGCTGAATTAGAAAATAAGTTATTAAACATGTGTTATAAACCCAGCACTGTGTCATAGGCTGGACCAGAAGGAAACTCAGAAAGAATGAGACATGATCTTTGGACTAAAGGACCTTTAGGTAAGACACCAAGACAGATAGTAATGCCAAAAACCAAACATTTTCAAGGACAACATAAAGTATAATAATTGAATACATAAAGAAGAGTTAAAGAGTCCAAAAGAAAGAGAAGAAAAATGAACAGCAGCTTATCTAATGTGAGCTGAGTGTTCAGAGAGGGCTCCATGGAAGACAGAGTTTAAGTGAGGCTTCGGGAGAGGTTGGGGTTTACTTTGGATAGGTGGGGAGGGCGTTCTGAGTTGAAACCATCTTCTGGAAAGCTTAGAAGGTTCATGTTGGATTAGATAGTGAAGGTGAGATCCTACTGCAAATCCTGAGTGCTAGGATGAGGCTTAATCCTCTACCCAGTGTTCACTGAAGGTTTGATCAGAGGAGAACACAATAAAAGTGGAGACAGATAATTTAGGGAAGATACTGGAGAAAAAGTGATCAAAAAGTTACTGAAATAGTAATAATGAGGACAGGGTAAATGGGTGTTGGGCATTAAGGAGGGCATGTGATGTGATGGGCATTGGGTGTTATATGCAACTGACGAATCACTGAACTCTACATCTGACATTAATGATGTTGTATATGTATAAGTCTAGGTATTCATACCTAAGAGTGGTGATGGGGTTACAAACAAAAACAAAAAACATCAGGTGAAGAAGGAAGACATTTCTAAAGAAACAAATGCTGAGTTGCAGTGATGGATGATGGATCATAAACTTAGTTGCTAAGAGACTCCCCAAAGACCAGGACCTTTCTCATACTTTTGAACTGTTCTGAGGAAAAACAGAGTTTTGTTGACTTTGGAGACAGATTCCGGCAGATTTGAAATGCCTCTCTCATGGCCTCTTCACTATTTATGCCTGTTTTCTCTGTTTCTATGAAATTCATTAGTTCCTCATCAGCCAGGGAATGTGTCAGCCTGATCTGGGAACATCTATAACTATCTTTAATGAGGGAAGAGGATTAACTGAGGTCATTTAGTTGGTTTATTACCCACAGTATTTAGCTGACCACCACAGCCTCATTTGAGACACTGAGCAGATGATACCTACTTTGCCTATTGATGAATCAGTGTTCTTTATTATGTGCAAGGAAATATGTAGGCCAGGGTGTTCTTCATTCAGGGTGAAGACAGACCATCCATCATCAAATTAGTGTTTCTGGGAACCTACTCTGTGCTTATGTTCTAACAGGGGTTGTCAAGAAAATATCCTTGAGGAGAAGAATAAGAAATGACTGTGAATAACTGGTTGTGTTTTCTAAAGAAAGAAGGGCGGTTGGGATAAATGTTTGGGTGAATGGTAGATTTGGAATCTTCCCAATGAACTGAAGGCTAGATAGAAAATGTTTTCCAGTTCAAGGAGGCAGAATGCAATGACAGCCCTCAAGGACATTCTTTGCATGGGTCTGGACTTTGCACACAGTGAATCACTAACTCCTCACATCAACCACATGCTGAAGGGATTAGTGTCCTTATTTACGGAGGAAAAAGCCAAGCTCAAAGTGGTAAAAGACGGGCCAGTGGGAAGTGGAGCCATAATTCAAACCGAGTTGTACTGGACTTCCCACTACACTAAACTCCCATGACATACTAGAAAGAACATGAGGTTTTGCTTCTTGTTTTGTCGGTTGTTTATTTGTTTTGTTTTACCAGGAGACTTAGATTCAAGCCCAGACTTTACTAATTGCTAAGCCCTGAAAGTCAGTTGTTTATATTCTCTGAGCCTGTTTCCTCATCATAAACTAAGACTGATAATAATAAAACATACCTCCCTGCTTTGAGAAAGGATCACACGAGATTTGAGAGTTCTTTGCAAACCGTAGAGTGAAGTGGATGTTAAAGAGGCTCTTCTTATTCCTTTCATTTTGGTTGTGATGGGACAAGAATAGCCTCCCAACACTAAGATGGATTGTAAGGGTTATTTTATGCAGCTGTCCTGGGCAGCCCCTAATGACAGTAAATTAGACAGATACAAATTTCAGTCAATGGACTTTTGTTTGACACAAGGAATCCTCTAACAGTGGCATAGCTTAGAAGATAGTAGAAAATGCCCCTTATGCCCACCAGTGGTGATTCCTGCATATATTTTCTACTACTACTTTTAATTTTCAATTAAAATACAAACTAAATTTTATATATTAAAAAATATTCTTATTAAGACATATTCTTATTTATTTGGAATAATACTGGTGCTATACCTATTATGCTCATCCTATAATAATGCTTGCTTTAATGAGTGCTTAATAGTTCTAGGCACTGTGCTAAGCTTTCATTATTTTAATGATTTTCATACAGTTTAATTATCCCCATTTTAAAGTTGAGGAAACTGAGTCTCAGAAAGTTAAAGTACTTACCCCAGTCAGACACTTACTCCAAAGCCTATGACTTCTATTTCCAGAGGCAGACTATGAGGAAATGCCTTGAGGGATCCAACCTAGACCAGATCAAGAGCATCCACCCGATGTAGAGGACTGCGAAGATGCACTTGGCCAACCCAAAGAAAGATATTTCTGCAGAAGAAAGGATCAACACTCTAATAAAAGAGAGAGACAATAAACAAGCCTACATAGAACAGAAAAGAAACAAATGGGGATGGAATGGGGTGGGATGGGATAGGACTAAATAGAATAAATCACATCAGGACCCAAAATGTTTGTAGCCCACTGTTAAGAACACCCATCACAGAGAGGTTCAGAGGGGAGCATCATTCTCAACAGTACTTGCTCATTGAAATATAAATATTTGGCAGCTTAAACAGAGATAACAGGTGTCTAGTAGACCCAACCTCAAATGGACTGGTTGTGGTGTTTACAAAATGACTAGAGGACTGCATCTGACCTCTTTGAAAAAGAATTTCACAATCATTATTATAGCCTCCATGAGTACAGGAAAGTAGAAGAACAACATGCAAGGGATGTATCTTTAATCCCTACAAAAGATATTGAAAAGCTTTTCTGGACACCTGGGGTTGTAGATCTCCACAATTCAAGGAACATCTTTAGGAAACAATCTGAGCCTTACTTGCAACAATCTCTTCCCCCTTACTCTATGATGTAGTGTCATGGTTAAAGGCATGGATTCAAGCAATCTTGGGCAAGTGGCTTACCATTTCTGTGCCTCAGTTTATCCCTCTGTAAAATGGGTGGTTGTGAGCATTCAGTGAATTACTATTGGTAAAATGTTCGTGGGAATGCCTGAAACGTAGTAAATGTTACATACACGTATAAGTCTCAGTTACTATTGCTATACTCTAGCTAATTTTCTGCATATCTTACTGTCCCAACTGGTTGGGGATCTTCCTGAGGTAAAATGTTCCTTCCCTAAATCCTCTATATTCCTAAGTGTATAGTATCTGACATATACCAGCTCACAATTAGGGGCTTATGAATGAGCTGTTCCTCTTTGCTGATGTCATGCTCTACACTTAAGCAGGCAGGAGGGAGTCATAGTAAATACATTTTCAGAGATGCATAAAAATGAGCTGTTTGAATCCTGCATGTTTGGAACATGTTTGGCTACTTCAGTAAGATAAAAATAAACCAGAAAACTCAGAAATTGAGTTTAGCAGACACCCTACCTGTTTTAAAAATTGGCCCGTAAAGTTTTATGGCCACAAAGAACAAGCTTAAATTGCTTTAAGAAGCTGAAAGTGTCAAAATATTAGCATTTGTTTTTTACTCAGAAGTCACTCAAGCTAATATAAATTTCTTTTCTCTTTTTTGCTTTCTCCATACTGTTTTCAAAACTTCCCACCCACCTGACCAAATTGCAGGGGTCCTGGAGAAAGAACGGGCCAGACGTCTCATTCACAACTACAATCTCATTTACAACCTGTCCCTGAGCCCTCAGAAAATCGACCAAGCCTTGCGGAGATTCCGTGTGGGAGAAAATATGCTCTTGGAACCAGCACTTCAGTACTTAAAGGAGCTATGATAACAAGCCCATATTGTGAGAACAGATGTTTCCTTTATCTTCCTTTTTACCCAGACACGTGTTCCTCCCCGTCCTGAGTGTAGTGGTAGAGGCACTGTCAGAGTTGAGGCCGATACAGCAACTGGAGATGCTTTGGACTTGGATTTCTTTTCTGGCTATGATGCTCCCTCATAAGCAGCTCAGAATGACCCTGGAAAAACAGGTTTCCCCTCCTGAGGTGGCAAGAACTCAATTTCTTAAAGTCCTCTTCTATTTTCATAAAGCTCCTTATTATCATTACATGATTTTCCCCCTATATTGCTGATAAAACTTTATTTTTTGCAAACCTTGCAATTCCAAATACTAAAAAAAAAAAAAAAGGCTAGACATTCTTATCAACTCCCAAAAATGCCTGTCACATAGGAGACCTAGATATATCATTTTTAGATAAGTAAGCTAGCCTTTCCTCTAGTCACTATTCTAGGTAGGATTTTCACATTATAAAAGATAAAATTATTGGCAATATATTAATACTAAGGTAAGGGTAGGAGCAGAATTCCAAGCAAGTTTTCTGAACAAGTGAGATATTTTCTCTAGTACAAAGCAAGATGATGTTACACTATCCCCAGGGATTATCTTCTTCCCAAAGTATCAGAAGTTTTTAAATAAGTGACACCTGGGACAAAGGATTCTGGAAATAGGCAACATCTTCTTTGCTCTCTCTGGCAGAAAAATCAAGCAAAACTTTCCACAAGTTCCCACAGTTCTCCTATCCAACTTTGCACCTCCCACAGAACACGCACATCACACCACACAGGTAGCATGAGCTCACTGAAGGAATACTGACCCAGGACTTCAGAGACAAATGTGTTCCCAGAACCATCATTAATGTTGAGTGACCTGGATTCTGGTTTTCAGACAGAACAAAGGAATTAGGTCAAGGGGAAAAGTAAAAAGATCTCTGAGCATCTCTTTTTATCTATTTTATGTAGAGGGGTGTCTCATAAAATCTCATAAACAAAGCCCTAAGAACAAAATAATTTTGATTCACTAACATCAATGATCCCTAAAGGCTTCAAGTGTGACCTGCTTTAGTTTTCACAATCCTTGAGTAACCCAGAAAAAAATGCCTCTTGAGGCCCACTGACCATCTCTCTAACATTCTAGAACCCTTGGCCCTGCTAGCTGCTTTTGAGGTCAGAGAAGTAAGCAAATAAACATGGCTTTCTCAAGCTACCAAAATGTCAAATGAGGGAAATTAGAATATTAGATCGGGCAAATCAGTATACATTGGGCAACCAACTTGTGCTGGGAACTGGACATATTTTGCTTCATCCAATTCTGATGACTCACTGTGGTGGGTTTTACCATACTGAGTAAATACTGTACTCAACAGTACTCAATACTGTTGAGGAAAGAGACTCAAAGAAGTAAAGGGTAGAAAAGCAACAGGGCTGCGCCTGTTGATAACTGGCCAGAGGGTTAGAGCCTTCTGAAGAACACTGGTCACTTACCTAAGAATACCCGGTCCACCCTACATCTCTGTGGGGAAGTGGACTGGAAAGAGGATTGGATGATGGGAGGTCCTAAACATGAAGCCAGGGTTATCAGACTCAATTGTGTGGTCCTGGAGGGTGTAACCCTACCTTACCCAATTCTTTGTGTGCAATATCTAGATTAGCTCCTGATGGATAGCCTCAGCACCTACCAACTCACACAGCTGGAGGTGACTCCACTGACCCAGAATGCAGCATGAAAGGTGTCCCAGAGCTATGTGACCACAAGTCATGCACACCCTGTACTTAGGGCTGGCTGGCTAGCTAACTGCTTCTGGAAGTGGAGTAGCCATGGCCATATGTGGATCCACAGTCATCCCACCACCACTACCCATTCTTAAACAGAAAGCAGAAAAAGAAAAGGCTTTAAAACCCACCCAAATCCAGCTCTGGCACTTAGTAGGTCATAGCCTTGGCAAGTGTTCAATCTCTCTGAGCTTCAGTTTCTTCAACTGTAAAACAGGAGTAACATAAACACTGTTTCACAGGAGTGTTATAAACACCAAGAGTCGTGCCATTTGGACGGTTCTTACACATGGTAGAGATGGACCTTTTTTTTTTTTAACATTTTAGTCTTTTTTTTTTAATTTAAAAAAAAATTTTTTTTATTTATTTATGATAGTCACAGAGAGAGAGAGAGAGAGAGAGAGAGAGAAAGAAAGAGAGGCAGAGACACAGGCAGAGGGAGAAGCAGGCTCCATGCACTGGGAGCCCGATGTGGGATTCGATCCCGGGTCTCCAGGATCGCACCCTGGGCCAAAGACAGGCGCCAAACTGCTGCACCACCCAGGGATCCCCGAGATGGACCTTTCTTATGCCCCTTCCCTTAGCTGCTGAGCATCAAGATGCTTGAACAATGGTCTGCGTGAAGTGACACAGGGACATAAGGCTACCCCTATAGCAAAAACAAATTTTGAGATATATCTGTCTTCTAGGACCAAAGAACAATTGTTCTTGAATCATCTCCTGTCTGGAATTGTCCACTACTTTACCCCCAAGGGGTGTGTGTATGTATGTGTGTGTGTGCGTGCATTTGCAAGACTTCCACCTTGCAAAAGTAAATACTCGTTCAATTTCTCTGAGTAAACATTAAAAGAAGCAAAATTCAACTTAAGTCATAGAGAAAAGCAAAGATATCAAGGTGACAGTGTGACAGCAGATGTTAAATGAGGCCTTGAGGCAAACAAACCACTGGACATAAACAGGAAAATGCTATGAGGTCATTATGCTCTAGAATACTGGTTTGACCTCTATCCTAGGAGTTCTCCATGATTTGCTTTTATGGAAAATCTATTACCTTTCTCTCTTTCTCTCTTTCCCCCCTCAAATGTCAGTGTTATTTTGTATAGTCTCAGTGACTGTCACTGTGAGTCTAACTCTTGGGTAGAGAAGTCTGGTGTCTGCGGTCTTGACCAGTTTTCTCTAGCAGAACCTTTCTATACTGGTGTCTGTGTGCAGTGGACTGTTCAAACTCCAGAATGCCCTGGAGTGACTCAGGGTCAACTGTGTCTGCCCCAACTGTCCGAAAGCCTCAGCCTCTAAAGATGGATCACTGAAGACATGACAGAGGCTGAATCTCACCAGCTGGGCAGCCTCCTTCCCAGATGTATGACCCTGGGCAGTTCACTCCCTATCTCCCGGAGTCATTCATATTAAAGGAGATAATGGTACAAATTGCCCAGCACTATACCTGTCACATAGACATGCTCCAGAGGGGACACTGGCTTCCTATTTTACTCTTATACAGTATCTCCATTTACTCCATTCAGTGACCCAAATCATCAAATCCCTTTTCCAAGTACAGACCCCTTCCAAGCCAACAGGTGGCTCAAGGATCATGTAGTCCCTCGAGTCCTCAGGGACCATGCCCTCCACGTTCTCATTCTTCATTCTCTCACCTGCTCTGACTCCTCCCAGTAACCCGATTAGGCTAGTTTCACTACGAAGCCCATTGTACAGATGAGAAACTGAGGCCCAGGGTGGTAAAAGTACTGGCCTAAGGGCTAACAGTTAGGGAATGACTGAGTCAGGATTAGAACCCAGTGCACAACTTTAAGTCCAACAGTGGCTTGCAGGTCAGAGCAAATAACCTGCAAAATTCTCTGTAGCCTGAGTGGTCTGTTACCCCAGCAAGTCTGGAGGTCATTCCCAAAAAGGCCTGAGCTTTGTCCCCAGCCCACAGCCCAAATTCACTCCCAAGTGAGCACCTGGAAAATATCTGTAGAATGGAGCCCCTACATGAAACTTGTGAAGGCTGGTGGCCTTCTGCCCTCTTGCAGCTCTCAGGGCTACATCCCTGCCTTGCGGGGACTGAAATGAAAGGTGTTTTCAGGACTCTTGGCATTGTGTGTTTGCACAAGCAGAGAAACAACTGTATAGATCAGGCAATCCAAAGAGTTTGCTAAGTGCTCCCTGACTCTTCAGAGGAATTTCCCAAGATCATTAAGAGAAACAATACAGGGTTTGATATTCTAATTGGGATCAGCAACTGGACAGCTTTGGAGCTGGCCAGAGAACTGTGGAGTTCTGCAAACAAATGCTGGCCTTTCTTCTCTTTCTCTCCTTGCCCCTCCTCATTAGAGCCTTTCAGCTACAGTTCCAAGGCTCCTTAGCAACAAAGGCGGGGGTTTCCCAGGGCTAGGGTGCCTCAGGAATGCCAGCCATTCCTCTCATTAGCATTCAGGGCTCTTCATCTGCCTGCACAGTTAGCTTCAGGACCACGCAAAAGGCAGTGGCTTGGGGGAGGCCCAGCATTTAGCCTGGCTTCTTGGGAAATGGGAAGCCTCCAAAAAAAAGTTTCCAAACAAAAGGCATCAATATTATTTGCGGAGCCATCAGACTGCCTGGAGCACAATATGGCTCTGGCTCAGCCACATGCTCTCTCCCCAGGTTCTGTGTGAAGGCCTGATAGGGACTTCCCAGACACATCATGGGCTTGGATGCCAACACACTGGAAGGTGTCCCTCCTTCTCCCCTCTCTGCTGTCCAGTCTCAGACTCAGTTTATGCAGACTGGACAATGGGTAGAACTCTAACTGGCAGTGGGAGTGCCCAGAGGAGGGGAGTTGACAGAGGGTAAATGGTCAGATGATAGGACAATCACAAACAGATGGTGCCACTAGGAATGGATTCCAGACAAATTCACAAGCAGATTGAGCTCTGACAAAGACTTAGCTGGTGGAGAGCAGTCAGTGACTTGCACCAAGCCTTTGCTCAAAACACATATCCTGCTCTCCCATACAGACTTCAACAATTCCATTAGGGGACCCTTACCAGGGTTCTGTTTCACTGGAATTCCAAAATACTGATCAATAGGCCAATCCCTGGGAGATTCCAATCAGCAAAACCATTTTTCAACATACTTGTGTTGTCTCTAAGCAGTTTCCTTCAGACTCACTATGTTTGAACACCTCCAGGGATGTGGACCTCACTACTTGTCATCTCTAAGACAGTTCCTTCTCCAGAC